GGCACCATCATCTTTCTTCACCATATTTACTTATGCACCCTCTCCCCACTTTCTAAAAATAAATCATTTCATTCGGGGCTATTGCAGCTCTTATAACAATCCATACATCAATTGTATCAAGGACATTTGTACATATGCAGCTATCATCATTTTCAAAACATCTTTCTCCTTGAGCCCTTAGCATCAACTCTTTTTTCCCTCTCACCCTTATGAATCTTAATAAATTACTATTATTTTCTTATTTTACACCATTTGCTGTCTCCCTTCACCCACATTTCTTGTTTGTCCCCGTGGGGGGGAACTGTACATTAATCATTGTGATCAGATCCCCATTTCTCCCCCTTGTTCCCCCACCTTCCCCCAACCTTCATGGTATCACTATTCCCATTACTGTTCCTGAGTGGTTTATCTGTCCTAGATTCCTTGTGTTGAGAGCTCTTATCTGTACCAGTGTACATAATCTGGTCTAGCCGGATTTGTAAATTAGAACTGGAGTCATGACAGTAAGGGTGGTGTGGGCGGGGGTGGGAAGCATTAAAGAACTAAATAATGGTGTGTGGTTTCTGATGCTATGCTTAATCTTGGCTGACTCGTCCCTTCCTTGTGACTCTTCTGTGAAGGGATATCCAACTATCTACAGATGGGCTTTGGGTCTCCACTCTGATCTCCATGGTTTGCATCGATATAATTATTTGTTTTGGGTCTTCTGATGCCTGACACCTGATTGTGATCACACAGTCTGGTGTAATTCTTCCAAGTGGCCTTTGCTACTTCTCAGCTAGCAGCTTGTTTATCTTCAAGCCTTTAAGACCTCAAACAGTATATTGTCTAATAGCCAGGCACCATCAACTTTCTTTACCACATTTGCTTATGTACACATTTTTTCTTCAGTGATCATGTCTGGAAGCTCAGCATTACAGAATGTCAAGTTGTTTAAACAAAGTGTTCTCATGTAAAGGAAGTACTTGAATAGAGATCCAAAGTCTGTCTGCTACCTTAATATTTAACATTAAATGTATGTGCAGAAACCTATATCCCTATTGTTATATATTAATATATTTACGTATGTACATGCTTATACTTATATCTCTATAAATGTCTTTTGCCTCCTAGTTCTTTCCTCTATTTTCTTTTACTTTCCTCCTGTCCCACTATCATGTTCCAATTTCATTCGGCTCACATTAATTCCTCTTGGCTGCATTGTACTTGATCAACCCCACCAGACATTGTATGTCCTCCTTACTGTCGATTTTGGATCTCGTTGTTCCCTTGTCCTTGGAGTAAACGGGGCTTCTAAAGCCTTCAATGTTTCAGTACCCACACATGAAGTAAAACACAGTCACATGTACCAGGTAACATTCACTATGGACTTAGGTGTGGAATCTATTGAAGTTGCGCCAAAACCTAGTTACAAAGTAGTTTCTCCTATAAAGTGGCATATCCCAAGCACACCTTAAGAAACATTGTAGGAAGGGAACAACAAGCGATCCAAATTGGTGGGAAGGTGGGTGTGGGAGACCTAGTAGGGCATGATCAAGGGGAACGTAACAAAGAGGAAGTGCTGAATCCTGGTGGTGGCTGAGCATGATAGTGGGACAGGAGGAGAATCAAGGGAAATTGAGGAAAGAGCTGGGAGGCAAAGGGCATTTATAGAGGTCTAGATAAAGACATGTACATCTGCAAATATATTTATATG